TTGGTGATCGGCTGGCAGAGGGTGGGAGAGACAGGAGAATGTAAACTACTCTTTCTCCAAAGCACTCTCCAAGGGCAACAGGTACTGCTAATCCCAGCAGTGTTATGTTTTGAGTCTCCAATAAGCATCTGAGAACTATTAAACAGCCAATGTGAAACTTTATACTGGTTGTTCAGTAAGAGCAAAGCAGTGTGTGGCTTTCTTATCTCATTAACATTTAAAATTAAATCTGATGCTGGGAATTTCCAAGGACATCCAGGCCACCTCTGCACCCTGCCTTGGCTTGTTTCCAGTTCGGGTAAAACTCCTGGCAAAACTCTATTGACAATATGCAAAAGATGTGAAACAGAACTGACTGAGAAAAACCCAAAGTGTAGGATAGTTCACAAGCACTAGCTTATAAGGAATCACCACCAAGTTCCAGCAAAGTACTAGCTAACAGGCTTCCTTAATATTACTGCCTCCTCCGACTGCCATAAAATTGCCATTTAATGACCCACAATATCCTGATGGAAAAGTCAAAACTATGGAAAAGTCAAAACTGCACAGGTTTACAGCACCAGCCATTGTCACCAGATATGCTCCTGTGCATAGAACTGTTAAGGGCCCTGCATTTATCTGCCACTCAACAAGAACTGGTGGAAACCAGAGGCTCATAACTTGGGTGACTTCATTATCACAGTGACTTGTACATGATGAAAAGCACTCTCATTAATGCTTTTTAGTTCACTCATTCAACAGCCAGTCACCGAACACAGAGAGCATTTCCCCAATATGTTACCATGGACCCTACTAGTTGGAAATGATGCATGCTGCATGTCAACACATTTGGAAAGACCCAGATTGGAGAAGGCTAGTGTACGTAAACAAGTCTAATTCTACTCTATACCAAGCATGCATTCAGTGAGGCTCTTGAGTGCTAAGAAAGTCCAGTGTCTCTCCATGTCTGTTTTTCTTCCCTTTATGAAAGAAAAGCTCCCATGATCCCCACCCATCAATCATACTGACCTAGGGCTGATGGGAGTTGAATTCACAAGTATCTGGAGAGCATCTAGTGTGCTGATCTGGTGCTTAGAGTACTGGATTAGATCATAGAGGTTCAGGGTACAAGCTTTGCACTCAGCCATGAAGCTTGCTGGCTGACCTTTGGTGAGTCAGCTCAAGTTAGTTCACAGAATTGTTGGGAGGATAAAATGGTGGGTGGCAGTGAGGAAGAACCGTGTATCCCACCCCATATTTCTTGAAGGAATGACCTATAAACAGAACAGGTGAATTATTGTCCTCTTCTGTTCATGCATCTTTACTGCACTGGTTTCATTCAAGCAATATCTAACCCGTGAACCTACAGGCCTCTCAGTCTGAACCTCAAAACTCTCCCCAGGGTACATACACCCCCTCACTGTCCCTACTCCAGGCAATTGATAGTATTTACTGTATCTTATTCTGCCCCTGCCCAACAGTTACAAAGCTGATGGAGGAAACCTTGTACAAACTAGGTCCAAATGTTGTTTGCTTTTTGCTTGCTGAATAAAGGTAGAGTCACAACTTAACTCCACTCTCTTTGCACTCTGGGCACCCCTATTGCTAACCCATGCACTAACAGATTTCAAGCCAGGTAATACAGAGCTTGAAAAAAAGCTAGGTTAAAACAATCACTTTTGGAATATTACTTGTTTTCTTGATTAGATTTTGAAATTTCAACAGATATCTGACTACCATGTCTAGTGATCAGAATGACTGCTTCTTCCTCCTGGAACTCAATTTCCCTCCTGTGTTGGGACCACAATTCTCAGATAAACTCAATGCTGAGGTGCCCGCTTTGAAGCAGATGCACCAGGGTTCAGTCCTCAGCACTGCCAATGAAAGGATCTAAGGCAGCATAGGAGAGACAGCAACTAGATCTTCCGGAGATGCTGTTCACCATTACAGACAGGCAAGATGTACAGACCAAGGGCCTTGAGATATTTTTGGATGTGTGCAACTCATATTATGCAAGGAATAGAGTATTGGTAATTGAAGTAGAATAGCAACTAAAACATTAGTCATGAACCAGCAAATCTCCAGTTTCAAGTATCCCTATAACATTGGGTGGCCTTTTGCGAAGTATCTCTCAATCTCAGCATCCTTAGCTATATCATCTTCCAATCTCAGCTCCCTTCCCCCATACATACCAACCTGACCACTGAGATCTGGGCAGGAGGTCCTTCTAAAGGAGCCATTCCTAAAAGAGGTGAGAGGAATGGGAAATGGAAGGCCATTCTTGGTGGCTACCCTCCACTTGTGGAATATGCCTGGTGCCAATCTTACTCTCTTTCCAGTGCCAGGTGAAAACATTTTTCTGGCATTAACAATAATTTTGACAACTAATTTTAATGTTTGTACTTATTTTTCATCTTACGGTTGTCCCTGCAGTGGATTTACTGGGTTTACTGTTTATTTATTATTTATTGTTTTTATGACAGTTGGTTTTTTATTATTGTATGCTGCATGACCGATTGCTTTTATCAGTTTTATTGCTTGAATGACTGTGTGATTTTAAGTGTTGTAAGCCAGCCAGAGACTCCACTTGGAGTAGGCGTGGCAGACAAATGTAAAAAGTAAAATATGTAAGTAAATAATATGGGGATAATGTGAGGCTGTAGCAAGAGAGTGAAGGGAAACAGAGGCATTGGTGTTTCTGCTGAACAACCAGTTCCATCTGGCAGCAACCATTGTATCAAGCTGAGATGAGACAGAAGGAAAACAGGTCTTCTCATCCCCTTTCCTGGGTAGAGCAACTTTGGGTTTCTCCCATCCTTGGACTGTTCCCATTCTGGCTGCTCCTTTCAGTCTGTTTTCCTTTTACTCCCATGTTGTGTTGTGCAGTGTCTTGTCTTTTAGCTTATAGTCTGAGGGTAGAGGCCGTCTTAGGACTGGTCTTTGTGAGCTGCTCTGGTGCTTCTCTGCACAGTGCATTAATTCTGCATTTGTGATACCTCATTCACAGAAGTTTGCAGGTCTTTTTCACAATGTCATCTTCCTCCAGGGCCTCCCCTGTAGTTTACAGCCATTTCCAGAGGGGTTTTTTTTTAAACAAAGAAAGTCTGAAGTTTTTATGAATTATTTGCTACAGAAGCTTAGTCTATTTTTGCAGGAGCCATCTTACATCATGTAATGGAAGATCTAGAAGTTATGCGCCATCAAGTTGTCTCTGACTTACGGTGATCCTATGAATGAATACTCTCTAAAAGTCATGTCCTTCACAGCCCTGCTTGACTCTTGTAAATTCAAGACTGTGGCTTCCTTTATGAAGTTAACCCATCTAATCTGGTCTTCCTTTGCTTCTTTTGCCTTCAACTTTTCCTAGCATGATGGTTGTTTCCAAGGAATCTTGCCCATAGTATGACAGTTCAGTTTTATTATTGTTGCATCTAGGGAAAGTTCTGGTTTGATTTGATATAGGAGCCACTTGTTAATTTTTCCACCAAACAGGAGTATTTGCAAAGCTTTCCTTCAACATCAAGTTTTAAATGCATCACTTTTCTTTATGTCAGCTTTCTCCACTGTCCAGCTTTCACACCCATACATAGTGATCAGACATACAATAGTGTGAACTATTCTAGCCTCTGTCTCCAATGAAACACCTTTACACTCAATCTTTCTACTTCCTTAAATGCTGCCCTTCCAGGGCTGTCTTCTTTGACTTTCTTGGATGTAGTTTCTTTTGAGTTGACAACTGAGGCAAGGTATGCAAAATCTTTCACAACTTCGATTTCTTGTTAACAGGAAAGTTCTGTAATTCTTCTGTAGCCATGATATTTTGTTCTGTTAATATTCAGCTGTTACTTTGGCCACCTAATGAGAAGGAAGGACTCACCAGAGAAGAGCCTAATGCTGGGAATAATAGATGGCAAAAGAAGAAGGGGACCGCATAGAATGAGGTGGCTAGATGGAGTCACTGGGGCAGTGGGTGTGGGCTTGAGTGGACTCTGAGGGATGGTGGAGGACAGGACAGCATGGAGGAATGTTGTCCATGGGGCCATGATGGGTCGGACACGACTTTGCAACTAACAACAACAATTCCTACTGAACAGAAAAAGAGGAAAACCCTTGGAAGAAAATCCGTGTGAAAGCCACATAAATCCTCCCATGAAGAATGCAGAAGCAGCTGCCTTGATAAAGCACCAAATTAAATGCCTTATGTAGGGAAGACCTGGGAGGATTTTTCTGGCAAACGAGTATGTTAACATGTTTCAAATGATGCTGTTCTTCTTCAAAGGAGGGGCAACTGCAAGGACTGCAATTGGAAAGGGCTTCAGCACCCACCCCCGAACTGCTGACATCTTCCTGCTTTGGACTAAATTCCCAGCATGTCTTTCAATGGGCCACACTTGCTGAGGCTGAGAGTTGAAGCCCCAAACAACTAAAGGATGGCAAGCTGGGGAAGGCTTTCCAAAAGAGGCTATTATGCAACAGGCCAACTAAGGGCAAAACTAGATCTGAGGGGAACATGTTGTTCTAGAGTCTGCTGGGGAAAAGGCCCTCTTCTTCTTCCCTGTCTGCAATTTTGCTGTGGAAATAGACTTTCCATTCTCTCTTTTATGTATGAACAAGGGAAACTTATAAATAAGTAAAGCTGGGTGCCCCTGCTCATCTCTCCTTTAAACTTCCAAGTATCTGGAAGCTTTGCTTCTGAAAGTCTTGCTCCTGGACTAGACAAAAGCCTTCCTGTTCTCGTATCTAGGCATTTTGGGAAAAAGTGAGGAGAAAAAGCTAAAAAATAGAAATGTGGGGGGTTTTTTTACACTGTGTTTTTTAAAATAAATTTACACCTTAGTCTGTAGAAAAGAAACACATGAAGTACACTAATTTTCATGGGGAGGAGGTGCAGAGGAAATACGGTGCAGATAATGCAGCTGTGGACTTGGCTGTGCTGCACAGAGGTAGCTCAACCAATCAACCTCTCCCTATAACCTATTTCATGTTTGCAGCACTTTCTAAATCATCAGGTCCCATGGAAGTATAGTGATGCCAACAATGCTTTTATTTCTTCCCATCATTTTTAGTATTAAGAGGGTGCAATCAATAGAGACCAACACAGGTGAGAAACTGAGTCTGCGCATACCAACACCTGCCATTTTCAAAAACCTTAATCCAAATCTCTACTGGGGCATCTCTTTTCTAATTCCAAGTTCTCATTGTTGCTTCTTCAACATAGGATGTAGTAGTTGCCTACAAAAGTGAAGACAGACATTAACAGCACACTTTCCAGTGGTGGCTTCTCTTAGTTTCCTTGGGATTTTAGGGCCAAACCAGGTGTAATGCTTGGGAGGGAGCATCATACAAGTACTTGTCTGCTCACTCCACCCCAGTGGGGCTAAATAACAGCACTGAAGACCATTCTGATCTGGAATCAGCATGTGGAAGAAAAAGATGGATATCCTCACCTTTAGCACCCCTGCTCTGATCAAAACTAGAGCCAACTCAATAAAGTTTTAAACAGGAAAGAAAAATGGATCACCCACTCTGCATGGCAATGTAACTTAGGAAGGAGGGAAAAGTGATGTCGAAAACTTTCAGGAATGGTAAAGGCCATTTCAGCAAGTAAGTCTGGAGCCCACAAGCTTTTTCTCAACCATGAGGAAGGCTATCAACTTTGTTGGAACTTGGACAAAACACTTGGGGCAGTAGGTTAGGGCAAAGCCACAAGCCAGTGTTCCAGGGCAGGAAATAATTAAGCACTAACACATGTTCCAAAAGTCTTCACACATGAAATCATCCGTCACAGTGTCTCTCTCAGTCTGTATTCTGTATAGATCAACAAAGGAGTAACTTTGGATATTCTAAAGAGGGGAAGATAAAGTGTAGAGCCCATGTCTCCTGTAACTGTGTCTATTTAGAATGAATGAGGCTCACTTTAAAGACAACAGCATTGTACTGTGATAGAAAGAGAAAATGGTGGAAAACATTGAAGATGGAGTATTTGCCACCATCCTGATTGGCTTTAAAGGGGGGTTAGATGTATTGCGGATAAGATTATCCATGGCTATTAGTCATGATTCCTAGGTATTACATACAGGATCTGAGGAAACATGTTTCTGAACAGTCAATAAGAAACACAAGGGGAAGGCTGTTATAGCATTCACATCCTGATTGTGGCTTCCCAAAATTATCTGTTGGCCACTGTGGTAACAGAATCCAAGACCAGACAGGACTTTGGTCTAATCCTATATAGCTCTTATGGACCTAGACCCAGAGCCAACATCTTGGAATAACATCCCTAGTCAATTCTTACACATCCATCTTGCCCCTACCCTACCACTAGTACCATATATTTACAAAAGGCATCAGTTCAGATGCGTGATCCCAAGAATACATAATCCCAAGAAAATGGAGACTGACATTTCCCCCCAAACATACTGAAAACAGGCTGTTTAAAGTAGAAACTCTGCTCCATGAATGTTATCTACAAAAGGCAGCCTGTATTTGAGGAGCAGTGGATGCTCCAAACATCTCCCTATGATCATCTGCCTTTAAGAACCTCCCACTTCTTTGAGATGTTAGCTCTGCCTTCATGTGCTAGACAGATATAATAGGAATGTGAACAGAACCACTTGCAAAGCCATTTGAAGGTAGCATAGGTGAGGGAAAAGAAAAGCTACTATTCAGCTCTTTCCTTTAAACGGTGCCTACAAACAGAACTGCTCCTTCCTAGCACATCTTTTGCACAGCCCAGCTGCTACCACCATGCCATCCAGCACATACCCAAGAGAACTACTCAACAACCTTTCATTTAAGTTCTGCTTTCAGCTCCTTATCATCCAAGGATCCAAAGGTGTCTTCCCAGAGCATTCTTTCCTTTATCACTGGAAATTAAGTGCCAGTGAGGCCAAGGGTACAGGCCACAAACCACTTGTTCCAAAGGGAAAGAAAATCTATGTATTAAAAAAGCAGCTTCAGTCTTGGCTGAGGTGAACAGCATATAACTGAGGGACAAATCCAAACACTTAAGTTACTCAGCCAGGTGCCAGTACCCACAAGGCCTCACTCCCAAGATGCAAAAGCCGACAAGCTCCAATCTGCAAGTCCATCTGGCCTCCCCTCACTCTGGCTGCATAGCACTGGAAGAGCAGGAAACAGTGCACCTCATCATACACTTCTCTATATAAGCTGAATGAGCAAAATGTTTTCATTTTGGAGCATGTGGACATCTTCTACAAGATACACCTTTACATCCTTGCTTCCCTGTGAGATGTTAGCAAAGTACATGAGGTACCATTTTAAGCTGCTGCAAATTTTAGATGGTATCCAAGATATCCCAGTCCTTCAACTTGGCTGGAAGCTGTTGAAGATAGCTGTCTTGGTCAATAACTTCATGGGCCATGCTTGTGCTGTGGTCCCAGCGACCAGCACAAGTTAATGAAGTCATCACTGAGGGCCTGAACTGCACAGCAGCTATTTCCTTTGAGTCATCATCTGCAAACAAAATAAAATCCTCCATACAACCCTGCATAGTCCACCCCTCACCACTAGCAGAACTTGTGAGGCAGGCAGGTTTAGATGGCAGGATGGCTTAGGTGGAACAGGTGCACAAACAACACAGACATAATGGTGGCTTTTCTATTTCTCTCTCCCCATTGAGTCCAAACCACTTTTTAAAAAGATGCCTTTTCAACACAAAACAGTGATGAGACAAATCTGATCGGAGATGCAAAATGGGGAGACTAAACTCCTTGGTGAAATGTGAATGTGCCATTGGACTTAGTTGGTAGTACCAACCTGCCCTTCAGCCCAAAAAATATAGAGTCCATTGGAGCAGAAGGGCTGTACAAAATAAATCTGTTTGGTTTCTATATAATAACCAAAGGACAAAAAGTCTAATAAACATAAAGATGAGAAGCACAATGAACTCTGTATTCATTAACACTCAGGTACCTGTGAGAGCCAAATGCTGTTGGCTAAGATGACACGTGACCATTAAGTCCTCACAAGGAGCATGACTGTTTGGTTTCCTAAAGCAAAAGTATAGCTTTGGTGTGTCCATGGAGAAACACAAACTGTCCACTGAGCATCCCAGACAAAAAGGACACTATGTGCAGCTGTGGCGCATATGGAAGTTTACAACATATTCTGCATTAGTCCGTTGCACTGAAATAGCAAAGGGTTCAAATGGGTGGAAGGTGAATGCAACCAGACGCCGGACTGTGTGATTGATAGGCCGACCCAGAAGTCCTGCTTGGATTTCAAACTTCAGGAGACCAGAATCTCGAGCATAGAATCTGCAGAGGAGGAGGAGACAGAAAGGTCGTGATGCTTGATGTACACTGATGAAACCAATTAAAAGTGAATCTCTTGTAATTTTGTGAGTGAAGAAGCAGATATTTTCAGCAGAATAAAAACAAAAGCAAAACAAAGGTAGACAATAAGGGAGAACTGTGAGAACCAGCAATCCCCAAAATGCAGTCTGGAAAAAAGGAACCTTCACTTTTTTTTTCAGTGGACAATGCCAGGATTAAACTGCATTGTGAGTTAATTGGAGAGGTTCCCACCAAGTGATGCTAACTTGGAAACCTGACTGGAGATATGGCTGTTAAGCACAACAGTCTCCGCTGCTTGGTTGACAGGCATGCAAATAAATCTGGAATAAGAGTGAGACCTGATGTAATGGCTGCAGGTACCACAAAGACACAAATGGCTCCCTGAGACAGAGTTACTGCCCTAGGCAGATTTAAGGGGGAAAGGGGCATCTGGAGAGTTCTCCCTCAGGCAAAAGGGTTACAAACTTCCCACACACCGTCTCCTGGCTCCCCCAACTAGGTTACTTCTCCTGGCCATGCTAGCAAAACAATGCTGGAGATGATAGCAAAAGAGACTTTGCTGCGGTGTGGAACATTATTATACGAAACCTGACTGTATTAATTGATCCTGAAAGGCACCTGCAGTGGCCCTTGTAACAATTAACAATGGTGAGTATTCAACTTCATCGGTCAAACCCTGGTCAACTAACGCTGAACTAACGGCAACCTACAATGAAAACCTACATTCAGCCTTTGATTGTGAATTATTGTGTTGTCTGCAACTACCAATTCTCTATTTGGGGGGACGGACAATGGTGAGTTCACAACAGGAGTGGACAATGCCCTGCAGTAACCAAGACTGCACCTCACCGTTGACCCAAATCCCCTGCAATACATTCCACTGTAGACAAATGCACGTGGAAGGTGTTTCTCAAAGGAGGAAAGTTCAACAGCTGCAGTGTAACAGAGGGACATGTGTGAAAGAGAAAGGCAGGCCCAGTCTCATATCACGAGTTGCCTCCCGCATTGCCCTTCCCATGGTTCCCTGGCACAGCTCCTTGGTTTCAGCTGAAGTGCCCTGCTACTTGAGCGGATCCTATGCACTCCCCGCCAGCAGTCTGCTTTTTCAGTTCCCAGGGCAACCTCTTCACCTGCAGACAGAATGGGAAGGAGGATGCTCTTTCAGTAAGTAGAGGCCCTCTAGATTTCAGTAATGCAGCCTGCTGAATTCCTTACATTTTTTCTAAATGGTCATTGTCCTCTTCCTCCCCTTGAAAGCCCCAGCTAGCCTGACTTTGAAGAGCTGAAACCATCTTGGTAGCTGGCTTTCTAAAGGGTGCCTTCCTCCACAGGAACAGCTGCTGGGGGCGGCAGTGTGGGGAAGGAGAAAACAAAGGGAAGAGGAGCAGGTTCTCTCCAGCTCCTGCCCACCCATGGAGAGTATGGTATGTGGTCTGCTCCTCTCAATCCAATTCAGGGCAATTTACCAGACTCAAGATGAACGCCCTTTAATCTCCAGGATGGGCTCTGTTTAGTATTTCTATGTCTATTTTTGAAAAGTGCTCTGCAATCAGAGACCTTTTCTACAGGCTTACATGCAACAGATAAATTAGACACTGAAATGCAAGATGTGTGTCAATAAGAATAGTCATACTGAGCATTTCCTTCCCCCTTCCACTTGTTACAAAAATAGAAAGTTTACCTGCAAATTGTTTTGCTTCTAAAATGCTCTTAAATAGGTTTCCTATTAAGCGTTTAAGCTTCCTGAGCTCAAGCCTTCCAATATCAACAGGGACTACAGGTATAAAAACAGATTGTTCTCTTATGTCCCTACCCTTTTCCTTCTATCCAAAGGCTCCATACATAGCCAGTGGACTGCTGCTAAATCCCCCATGAGTGGGACAACAAACTGAGGTGGAAGGAAAGCCCTGCAGTCATTCAACCAGCCACTGCCAAGGCTAGAAGATCAAGCAATAGCCCAGCCTGTAGCTGAAGGCACAGGAGAAGAAACACTGTGTGGCTGCAGGAGGAAGCAGCACCAGCATGACAACAGAACCCTAAGAGACTACATGGATAAGACAGGCTGGATCAGGGCCTCCAACAGGATGGGAATTAGGTTTCTGCTCTACTTGAGGAAGTCAAGCCTGCTCCCCTGACAGCTTCCATCAGTATCTTCCCTGCTGTGTCCAAGCCCTGCTTGTTAGCTTCATGGGAGCATCCAGTTGGTTGTTGGGAAAAATAAGATGCTGGACAAAATCATGTGTGGAGCCTCTTTTAGTGCAAGGGCCAAGTTCAACTTCAGAGAAGCACTCAGCAGCAATGTTCCAGCTGTGTGGGAGCCAAAGGTTGAACAGTGGGAGCAGACAAAAAGGATGGAACCAAACATTACCTGCTCCCCAGGCCAGCATAACTATAGCTTAAAGTTCTTGCTTCCAGTGGCTAAGCTGGAGGAAAGGCATTTCATTAGAACAGGGAAAACTGCCCAAAAGCCAGGAAGCCATCAAACAATTGATGGCTGAAAGAAAGGGGGAAGAGAACAGAAGGCATCTGGCGACCCCAGTGGGGCAGACTGTGCCCTCAGGCCTGAGCTTCCCCAGCCCTGACATGGAGGGACCTGTGGTTTGACCCAGCAGGGCTCCTTTTATGTTCTCTTGTCTCCAGACTTTTATCACCCATTCTGCAGATCCAAATTTGAAGGCACTGATCATTCTTACATTAAAATGGAAGTGGCAGAATCCAGCTTCCCTCAGGGGCTATCTTCAAAGAGATACATATAGGAAATAAGTGTTGGCACTCTCACCCTCCCCAAGTCTTTCACAGGTTATCCTTTTTTTCTTTTACAGGTACCAGAGATTCCAGTAGCATGATTACAATCTCTGTTTCGATATAAGGCTGGTCACTCATGATAGCTACAAATTATATTCCCAGCAATAATCATGTGATTTCAAATGGAAAGTAAATTTTTCAGATTTGGAAGTTGGCAAGATTTCACCTTTAAACATCTATCACTTCTGAACTTCAACCATGGGGGAGAAGGCAAGAGAGCTAAGTGCTTCTGGTTTATTTAAAGCTAAGCAGGGTCAGGCCTGGTTGGAATCTGGATGGGAGACCCGAGTCCTGCATTAAGCATATAATTGAACCCAATGGCCTGGTAGGCCTTTCCAACTGTATGACTATGATTTTAAGGCACAAAATGTTAAGTATCAAGAACAATGCAGACAGGCAATAAATCCATTAGTTAAGAACACTCCTGATTCAAATATCAGCATTGCCACAAACTAACTAGCTGGCCTTGGCTATTCTCTCTCAGTCTCCACTTCTTCAATATTTATTCACTATTGTTCATTCAATTTATGCCTTATCTTCCTTTCATTTAAAAACTCCAGGTGACTAATCACATTAGCCTAGCCTACAGGGTTGTTGTAGGATTATAGCAACAAAGTATATGAAATGTTTTGAATAACTAACATGTATTATATTAGTCTGATGATTACATTACACCCTACGGGAAATATTATTGTTCCTCAAAATGAAAAGGACAGTGAGACTCACAACAAAACCAGAACAAATAACATTTGAAGCAGATATGATTATATTGGCCTGCTATATAGTCATCCCAGTACAATTCAGGTGATACATTAAACAGTGCATCATATGCCATCAAACGAAGGGAAATAGAGGAAAGTCTTAATTTGGCACCAAAAAGGCTATGATAATGTTGGCACCAGCTATGGTGCCATTTCACTATTTCACAGGACAACATTTCACTATTTGGAGGCCACTACCAAAAAGGGCCTCTCTCCTTTTGCCATCCTCTGAATCTCACTCAGTGGAGGTTACTGGGCAGGGGAGACACCATGTTCAGTAACAAAGTCGCACTCGCTCCAACAGGAGGATCTTTGGTTTGGAAAGCAGTCAGCAGAGATACAACACCTATTCAAGAGTCAAAAATGCCCCTGTCTTTCTGAAACCCCAGTGGCTGAATCAGGAGAAGGTGGCTACTTCCTTTACTGCAGAAGTCTATCACTAGGAGCATCTTCAAAGTTGCTGCCTTTTGTTCGGGGAAAGAAACCCTACAGACAAAGGACTGCCCAGTGGAGTTTCACAAATCATTAAGGGCTGCAACAAGAAATAGAGTTCAAAAATACTGTTAGATGCATCATCAGAATAAGTTGACTCAAGATGAATAGAGCTACTTAAGTACATGATAGGAGTGGTTAGACTTAAAACTGCTTTAAAATGGAAAGCAGAAGAAATTTAATTACTGAAGACTGGAAAATAAGTCAGTTGATTAAGTAGTAATGGTAAGACTGACTAATTATGTAGAAAGAGAACTAGCCAAAGAAATTGGTAAGTGGAAATAATTTTACACACAACTTCTTTTTAATGGAGATAACAACAATGAAAAAAATTGTAAAAGAGGGAATAGAACTTGAAGAAATTGTATGAGATTCGAAGAATCTATTTTAATTAAGTACAAAAAATGTGACTGAGTAGAAAGGATAGTAATTGTTTATTTACAGTGATCTTTCTTAAATATTAGACATTTTCTGTAACATTTGTGTCAGAACCCTTGGTGCTTCTTTGTAATTTTTATTTGCATGCTTTTCTTTTTTCATTTCTTTCTAAATTTGACTGTTATTAAAGTATTTTTTTTTTAAAAAAGGACAGCAGCAAGAAAAATACCCTAAATAGGGCTGGTGGAGGGAATGGAACACTTATGATTGGAAGACAACAAGAATATTATTGTCCCAACACTCCCCAAGAAGTGCAGTGACTGAATGGGAAAGTCCTGGCATATCTGTGGCCAGGAGAAAATGATGCCCTGCACCTCCCAAATATTCTCGATGGTAATAAATGGAAAGGCTTTTGAATCACTGCCCATGTCTCCAGGAATCAAGGCCTGGAGTGGCTGAGTTGCATCAGTTCTTGCAAATGTCACTGATGCTGCAGCAGGCGGGATACAAGCCAGCAGAGCTGAGTTTGGCATCTCTGGCTCCAAGATTCACTGAGGAGCACAACGGGATATTTGATAAGATGTTTGATAAAGGTGAATTTCTGCTCATAATATTTTTTTTATTTACTTCTATTACTGAAATTCTTCATGTTGTTGTTTATGCGCATTCATTTAATAGATTTGTCATGGCCCTTGACCAGTACAACAAACTTTTTGAATTGATAAGATGTTTCAGGGAGTTCCTGACTTGTAGGTGACTAAGGGTTCTTTCCCTGCAAGAACTGAAAGAATTGTGCATGGGGCTGAACGTTTAGATCTCATGTGAGATATGTATAATTATACTTGGTAAGCAAAATCTGTTCAAAAGTAGCCTGCCCCTGTTCATGGTGGCCCCATTTAGCTTTCACACTTCCAGGGTAGCAGCTGCAGTTGAAATGTTAGGCAGAATGGAGAGATTATTTTATGAAAGAATCCTAAGTATTTTGCTAACCGAGCTCCCTTTTACTCATTTCAAAACACGGAACATGTACAACAGAGTCAAGCATTCAAACCCTAAATGCCAGCAATCTTCAAGGCATTCCACATACCTGATAGGGTGGTCACCACATGTCTTGGGACGCTCCATGACTGAAACCCACTTGTCATCGTAACTGAAGAGGGAGAGGTCAAGGTAGGGGCTGCCGCTATATGACTGAGCGCTGATTGGAAGCTGCCCCAGCAACCGCCGTACGGCCTCTGTGTGTCCGCCATACTTTGCATTTACAATAGTGTCCTTGAATCTGAAGCAGACAGGGAGACAGAACAGAGATGAAAAGAATGAAACAAAAATCATTCCTCCCCATCCAAAAATGCATGAAATTTTAGCCTTGGAAAAAGCAGAGGTGGAAAAGCCTAAGAAAAGGCCCAAGTTCATGAAAGAAGAGGAGGGACTGGAGTTTAGACAGCGCGCATCCTTGTTACTCAGGAAGCAGGACTGTGAAGTGCCTCTTCACAGCCTTGGGGAACAGGTTGACTATGGAGTAATTTCATGTATGTTCCTCTGAAGAGTGCCAACCAGGCAAGCATTTCTTAGGTCAATGGCTCATCCACATTTTAATCAATAAATTGGTCAGTGCAGTGTTTTACAAAATGTGCTCCCACAGGGAACCCTACGCTGCCTTGAACACAGCTGATCATGGACTCCTCAGTGAGAACATCAGTGACTACACCAGAGCTTGCCCACCATCACTGATATCACCCCCTCCTGCAATGCACAGTCTCAGGATGAGTTCTAGGTATGCTGCTTCTTCTGGGCTAGGAGACTTATCGTCTCAGTTCATGAGGGGCAATAATGAGGATGAAGAGACACAGGCAGAGCTTCAAACAAACTGAGTGGGGGTCCTGGAACACTTTTCACAATCTCCTGCAACACTATTAGGGTTTCAGATTGAAGCAGATGCACCCAAGGATCGCTGCAGACAAATCAGACTGGAACACATAGCCTGTTGCTAAACAGTTTGGAAACCACTGTAGGGGTTAATCAATTGAATGCATCTGCATATTATCAAAACTTTGAACTAATTTTATGAGATGCTTTCTTCTAGAAGAGATGGTAATAGTTTAGGCTGCAATCCTATAGCTCATTACGTTGGAGTAAGCCCTATCAAAATCAATGCGGCTCACACCTAAGGAGACATGACTGTATTGTCAATGAACCAGAGCAAGACGAGGAGCTTCTGGTTCTCCAGATGTTGCTGAACTGCAACTCCCATCAGTTCTAGCCAGCATGGCCAATAGTAAGGGAAGACAATCCCACATCATCTGAATTGCCATATGTTCCCCATCCCTGAACTAAAGCCATAATACATCTTTCTAAAAAGCAACCTTTAATATATTTTCTTGCTATTTCAAGTAACAGAACAGAACCAACAGCCTTAAAAACCAAGCAAGCCTTGTTCTCAAATCACAGCCTCACTAATTAACATTGACTCCACCAATCAGCTCTAGCCTTAGTTGATTAATCTGACACTTAAACCTTTTAAGCCTGCAAGAATTTAAAGCCTGTGCAATAAACTGGCCACTTTATTCCCCACTGGCATATGTGTCTTGTCAGTTTTTTGGAAGTAGGTTCCAAACTAAACTGATATGAATTGGCTTCTACCCAAGATCAGAACCCCTAAGTTACATGATATGGTGGAGATCAGAAATAAGGAAAGGGATGGATTGGTAACACATCACACATCAATCTACATTCTGTCTATGAGCTATATGAAAGCTGAAAAGTTTGGAGCTACAGGTGGATATTCTAAGACCAAAGCATGATGTTGAAATCCATCCACTACAGTCGTTATTGTTCAGATTATACAAAGGAAAAAAATACAGCAGAGGGCAAAATGTTTTGAAGAACAGTCACTCCTTGACAATCTGGCCTAAAAATTCCTTTGAATTTAAACAGACTCCATTAAGAATTCTTGCCTTGAAGATGGGAGAGAGCACTACACCCTTTTCACTAGACTCAGTTCGCAAATAATCGATATGCTCTTTGTTGCCCCTCATGTATAAGACATCTTCCTCTCTCATGCTTGCCACATCTCTTTCAAACTCCAGCTTAAACATAATGCTTCTCCTGAGACACTGAAGCATTTCCTGAGTTTTCCTTTCTACCCAAGGGTCAGTGCAGTAAAGTGGTCAGGGCTGGGGACAGCCAGCTTCAGCCAGGGGGTTCAGTGGGTGACCATGAAAATTGAAGATGATCATTAATATATACTGGATTTCCTTGCCTAAGAAAATGGCCTTGCATAGACCACCATCTCTTAGTTTAAACTTCCTCATTGTGATATTGTAAGGATATCACAGGTACTTGGGGAAGAACCAGGTACTTTGGTTTCTTCGGAAGGAAATCGAATAAAACTGAAATACAACTGATGAGCAAAGACTATAGACATATTAATTTACTCAGCTTCATCCTGTTGTCTCTATTTCTCTACATCAGCAGATCAAAGCTTAGGCCAGCATGCCAATCCACTCTTCCAAGGTTAATCAGATAGCCATACTTTTTTGCAGGTGTTCCTCCATTCTAAAAGGTTAAAATGCCTCTCTTAAGGCTTAGTTACTAACAACAAAGAACTTCAAGCTAATGTATAAAATCACAGAATATTAGAGTTGGAAGGGGCCAATGAGTGCAACCCCCAGCAACTGCAGGATGCTAGGTTACACCATCCCATTCAGATGACTCTCCAGATGTCCCCAGTAAAGGAGAGCCCACAACTTCCCCAAGTAATAGATCCCATTGTTGAACTGCTCTGACAGTGAGAAAATTCTCCCTGGTGTCTAGTCTAAATCTGGTTTCTTTTCACTTGTTTCTTATTCCATGTCCTGCACTCTGGATTGAATAAGAAGAGATCTCATTCTTCCTCTTTGTGACAGCCTTTCAGGCACTTGTAGAATGCTATCATATCACACCTCAGTCTTCTCTTCTTCAGGTTGAACATGTCCAGTTCACTCAATCTTTCCTCATAGGCCTTTACCCCCAGTCCCTGAATCATCCTTGTTGCCCTTCTCTGTACTCTTTCCAGCTTTTCTGAATCTTAAAATCGTGGGTGACCAGAACTGGACACAGTAACTGCAGATAAGGTCTGACTAGTGCTGAATATATGCTACAGATTTCCTTCAGACCATTTGCCTTTGATTCCACCAACCACTGGAATGCAACCCCCTTACCAACACAAAGATTCTTTGAAATTTCAGCTTGACCCTCAGGATGAAACAGGTTCAACAGGTTCAAGTGGTAGCTAAGAAAATAAAGGCACAATTCTACACACGTTTACAATGAAATAGTCCTTTTACTTCCAGCATGTCCCAGCCGACCATGATGGGATTTGCAGGACATTCTTCTGTCATATACTGCATAGGATTGTGCCTTAAACAGTGAAGCAGGAATATAACAAGCTCCATTGTATCAGGTCAGACTATCTGTCCTTGCAGCCCAACACTGTCCACTCTCAGGCAGAGAACAGACACCTGCTGACTGATCCTTTTTCAGCTGCTAGGGACTGAGTGGGGCGGGGGGGGGGGGGGGCTGTGTGCATACAAAGCAGGTGCTCTACTCTGAGTTTCCTTCCCCAAGTCCCTGGATCAAATTGCACCTCTTGATAAGCTCACTAAATGACCATATGCAACCCAGCTCGCCTGGGTTTCACCATTTGCAAGATGGGGACAATAATATCAGTCTGCCTTACAGAGCTGTTGCAAAGAAGACCTTTAATGTATGCAAAGCACCTGGAACTTAAAAAAAAGGAAAGAATTTTAGACCCAGGAGCCAAATCTGGCCTCTCAGGGATTCCCCAAATGACCATACTCTTTTCCTTTCCCCCAGCCACTAATCCTTTGATGGTTTTCTGGATTTTACATAGCTTATTTCTCATTCTAAAAGGCTGATGTGCCTCTTTTTAGATTTAGTCAGCTTCAAGTTAAGAGCTTTATGCTACAATTCACTGATGTCTTTGGTGCTTTGGGCTCCACCCTTCCTACCCCCACCACACTCCTGGAATTGCGGCTTGAGGGCTTTTCCAAAATGGAATCCATCCGTTGGGTTGAAAGCACTATTTAGAAGCTAAATGTAATTTTCAAAGCATCACTTCCACTAGCAGCACCAATAACGAAGTGAATTAACTCTGAAGACTGACTAGCCACCCTGTGCCATCCGAAGAACTCACCGACGTTGGATCTGCCTGGCAAAGTTGTTGCTTGAGGCCGAGCAGGGAAACTGGACCACCTCGCTGTGAAGTGTGGCATTTCGGAAGAGGTCACAGAAGTTCTCAAAGAGTTCCAGCAACTCATCTGATGTGTTCTCAAACACGGCAATCACTGCGGTTGTTACCATGTTGTACACAACGAAAAATGAAGGCTGAGAGGGAGGAAGCAGAATTAACTTCAGCAGAATTAACTTCAGCAGATTTCACAAGAGCACAGGCAGAGGCCCTGTTGGCAACTCCCCTCACCAGCCAGTTAAATCAACCAAGGTGATGCTATTTTGTGGTTGGATAGAAAGATTCTGTATTTTGCCAGTCAGTTCATTGTATTTTCCAGCCAAAATCAATGGGTACCAGATTAACTATGCTATTAACTGCTATCAAATTATTTACAAAGCAATGTGAAATTCCTCCAATTCAGGTTTTGTTTTGTTTATTTCAACTGGACACATCAGTGTTCCTGTTTCCTTTCTCTGCCAAGCTCGTTGCTGTTGTTTTTTCAGAATGGCAGATTTAATTTTAGCCCCTGCTGGGAAGTGATTTTATAAGCCAGGTGGTAGCTGGCAACCAATTATCCCCCCACCATATATGCAGAGAGGTGAGAGTTAGCAGGTCTTATGGGGGGGGTGCGGTTGAGGGCACTTATTTTCTTTTCCTGTCTTAGTATTTCCAACATGCCGAGATGAGCCTTTTAAAGTGCATTGTGCTCCACTGCTGCTTGTAAACGGTGTATCCTTCAAAGTCTCCTGCTGCTGGGGAAATGAAAGACTGTGCACCATTAAGTATTGCTTTTGAATTGCTGGCGTTCTTATCCAAGAATGTCCAAAAGCTGCAGTCTGGTTTTGCAATCAGTCACCTAGGTAGTTGTGAAGAAATCTTTGCCTATACTATGGAAAAAACATTAGGATAACATGTATGTCTACATGTTTAAAGACTCACTGGTTAAGTTGGCACACAATATAGCATCTTGGAAATCCTAGCTTTCATTAGAAAAAGTTTCCAGTCCACATTGTTGAAAATTATATTCATTTAGAAAATCATGACAAAAATCAATTTAAAAACTCCAGGACCATTGACAACATATCATTCTTCCCCAAGCTAATATCCTCTAGATTTGTTGGGACTACATTGTTCATTATAAGCTAACAGGACAATCATGCAGGGGGCACTTAAAAACACTGTTTCAACAGGAGTTAAAACCCACAGAAGTGAAAAGCCTGGAAAAATGTAAAGGTGTCTTCCTCATGCATAAAACAGAAAAGAACTATTTTCTCTGAAGTGTGTTCCACTATTGGACCACAACAACTGTTAGCACCCTCTATCAACATCCATATTACTAGAGCTGAAGTAGCTAGGCAGCAAAAAGTGTGGCCAGGAGTGCTTTGTGCGGCTCAGGTTGTTACGCCACATGTATATGTTCCTTATAAGGACATATGTAGCCATGATGAACATGGCTCAGTTAGGTTGGATTGTAACAATGCCTGGGGCTACCTTTGAAATTTTTGGAAGCTGCCATCGGTCCAGTACTTAGCAGTAAACATGGTGGCCTGTGCTTACTCACAGGATCCCATTATAGCTGACCTCCCAAGGGCTATACTAGTTAATTATATGCTTCTGGGAACCATTCAAAGTGTTAGCAATGACCTTTAAGGTCCCGAATGGCTCAATGTCCGAGATAATGCAGGGATCGCTTCCTCTCCTAGTAGCCTCTCTATGCCCTAAGGCCTGATGATCTAAAAAGACATGACACACAAGGAAAAAGGAAGGGAGAAGGAAAGAATTCCCTCAGCAACTGTGATGGAGTAATGCTGTTTTCTTCCTCTTCTTCATCTGTACACTTCATTGCAGTGGCTGCCAGCAGAGATGGCTGAGAGACATGATGGCAGAGTAGAGCATAAGCAGGCTGAGGTGAGAGCAAACAGACTCCCACCCACCCACCATGCCTGAATCATAAGCCATGTCAGGCTTGAAAGGACAACATTTTGACTTGTACTCAGCAAAGCACCAAGGCCCTTTCCTTATAACAGTCCTAGCTACCAGAGAAGACTATCAGAGAAGGCAGGGGCCTGAAGCATCTTCTCACTTCTCACCTTTCCCTGCTCTCCCATGAAGGAGATATCAGTAGATGAACCAAAGCAGTTGGTTCCTCACCAAGATTAACTACAAGCTAGTTGGGTTTTTTTAATTACTTAATTTGGGAGGAACAGGATAAGGTGCAATTTTAATGTTACTGCCCAACAGTTAATAATAATAATTCCTCTCAAATCAACAGTGGAAGATGCCAGAGTTTCTGAGAACCAGCCTAAACCAGCAAGAAGAATGTACATGTCTCCTTTCATCAGGCAAGCAGCTATTCCATGCTCCTTTAGCTTGCCTGGAGCTTCTTCTCTTTCCCAAGAAAGATGTTCCAGCTTTCACTGACTTTTGGGACAGCTACTTCAGGGAAACCTTTGGGTAGCTAAACCATCAGCCACCCACCTGATCAGCTACAACTTGCAGCCAAGTTCTTCCATAACCCCAAGGTTTACATTTATGGATAACAGAAATTCACCAGTTCTTTGAAGCATCCATCTTTGTTTTCATCCTTGCTTAAGCTAGAAATAGTCATCACTTGAAGACATGCTGGCAAATGCTACTTTCTGGTCAGTGATGCAAAACATACAAACAAAAATGTGCAGTTGTTTGCAAAGGGAAGTAGTGAAATGGGAGACAGGCTAAAAGAATGCAAACAATATTAAGCTTGAAGGCCAACAGCAACTTGAATGGAAATGCTAGGGCCTAGATAAAAACAAGCTGTCCAGAGACAGTGATGAACGGCCTATACATTTCATAAATAAATAAATCAAACAGAAAGAGGGTGAGTCATAAAGGGCCTCCCGAGCCATCTAGTCTGAGCCCTGGCTCCAGCCAGCTCCGCTCATGACATGCCTACCATGTGCATGTTTAGCCTATCCTTGAACATCCTAATCAATGGGGCTTCAACCATAGCAACCTATTCCATACCCTAGGGATCCTAACTGTCAGGACGTACTTCCTGGCATCCAAAAGGAACAAGAAATGTCAGTTTTATTTTGAACATCTTGGACTGATTTAATAATTGGGTCTGATCATCAGACCCAGGCTGGACAGCAAACTAATCATTACAATATACTAATGAAAACATCTGGCTGATTGCTTCAAGTAAGTGCAAAAAGATCAACTTTCCTCACATCTGCAGTAGCTACCCATACACACCTCTTTGTAATTCTCCCTCTGAATTTGCCTGCTCAATACAGGCTTTCCCTTCATGCTTGCTCCCCTTCCTCCTTCCTTCACCTGTCCTGCCTTCTGTCTCAGATCATGGCAGCTGAGCCAAAAGCAGCCAGAGATCTCTGCCTGCCCCAGCCACCATTTGCAAATCAGAAACTTCAAGCTGTCTCTGCAACATCCTTCAGATACTCTAGGACCATATCAATTACCACACACAAAAAGGAGAAGAATCTGTCAATATTAAATTATGTAAGGAGTCTAGCTATGTGAAACAGCAACACCCCTCAACCCAACAAAACATGCAACTCCCAAGAGGAATTTCCCAAGCTTGTGCTACACTACAACTTCCAGCATCCCTAGATATCCTGGCCATTGCCGAGGTTGTCTGATAATGGTGGTAGGTATAGTGAAATGCATTCGGAAGGCACCAGTTTGAGGAAGACTTGGCTAAAGTAGGATGGTGTAACGTGGTGTTACCCTCCAGCAGAGGGTTGGACTTGATGGCCTTCATGGCCCCTTTCAACTCTTCTATTCTATGATTCTATGAAAGTGTTTAAGTCTATTTATACAGACTACATTTCTATACTGACCAATAACCAAGGCTCTCAAGGCAGTTTGCAGTGGTTAAAACCATGGAATCCAGCAACGCAAGAAAACTTCTTATAAAACTTTTTAAAATTCAAAACTACAGTATAACAAGAGTAAAAATGGCAGTGATGTAAAGATCTAAAAATAAAGGCTTAAAATAAAAATAGATGCACTTGAAATGCCTAGGAAAATAAAAATCAGAAAGGAATGACAATAGCAGGGCCATGATAGCAGTTATTTATAAAATTATAAATGCAATGAAGTAAATGGATGAAAGAGTTATTGTTTTCTCCATGTCTCCTAATGCCCCCAAAGCACCCAATGAAACAGATAGGCTGCAGATTCAGGGCAGACTGCTTCACATAACACATAAGGAAGATACGGAATGCACTGCCACAAACCAAGACAGTAGCCACTGATTAACGCAGCTTTTAGAAAGGATTAAACACACACAAGGAGGATAGGTAAGCCAATGTATTCTGGTACAATCGATGCAGCATGCGTGTGCTTTTAACATGCCATTGTAAGAAAGGGGTGAAGGAGAAGACATCAAGGCTGGCCAAATGGAAGTTTCTTGATCAGCACCAAAGTAGCTCTGAAAAACAGTTGCTGGAGGGCTGCTGCCTTCATCCCTGAGTATTACAATAATTACCTGGCTGGTCACTACGTATCAGGGATGGGAAGTCTTTCTTTTAAACACACAATCTGAAGCAACATACTGACCAGAAGCATGGACTGCAACCTGGATCCCTCCAGATGTTTTGGATAATAAATCTCAGTAATTCTAAACAGCGTGGCTGAGCAGCAATGACAGAGGTTGATGGAATGGAAGAAGTAGCAGTTCACTGGCAGGACGAGATGCTTTACAAGCAAAAGTTCCTCAATTCAATCCCTGGCATTTGCAGGAAGTGCAGGATAAACACTCAGTTGAAACCTGGAGAGCTGCTACCAATCTCTGTCAACAGCACTGGGCTAATGGACCTATTTATTTATTTAGTTAAGACATCTGTATGCCATCCTTTGCGAAACCCTAACCCTAACCAATGGCCTGCCTTCGTATCAGGCAAACTGTTATGTTACCATGAGTTATAAGCCAAGACCTCACAAGGGACCATATGCTGGGGAAAGCTGGACTAGAGTATTCATAAGCATGAGTACAGACTTCAACATCATGTTAGGTTAGTCTCCCACAAAGGCTGCAGCCTTACCTGTGAAGGGTCTGTCACTCGTAATGTGACTACATCCTCACTTGTGTATTTGATGAAAAGATGGTTTTCATCCAACAACTGCATCTTCCACATGCGCAACTGCCTCAGCTGATCAAAATACTGAAAGAACCTCCTTTTAGCCATGGCACTCCCATCCTGCTCTGCACGTCGCCATAAATAGACCAACAGTCTATGTTTCAGGGAATTTATGAATGGCTCTTTGTATGGATTTGCCATGCCTGTCTGAGAATCACGTTGGACCTCTGGATAGACTGCAGACAGTGTGAGGAGGTCATCCTCATAGCAAAAGCGCCCAATGGTCCGTACGTCAATGAAGGTACCCTCAGGTGTTACCTGAAAGACATGTATTGTTTGCTGCTGCACAGAGAGAATGGCCAGGATATTCTTATACAGGTAGAGTCCTTGGTTGTGGGACAAGATGATTTTATCACATTTGAACGTCCTAGTGTCACACAGCCTGCCTGTGTGAAGGTCTATGATGTGCAAAGAATAATCTTCCAAAGGAGACCTGGGGTTAGGGGTCACTGATTCACTGTTGCGATAAACCTCAAAAAAGGGAGGGTGGGGTTCCTCAGGCAGATAGGCAGCAGAGCCAACAATGACGTAGCGGCAATCGTCTGTGAACAAGCTACATTCGCGGTTCAAGTGCTCACCATTGGAAGCTACATTGGTAATATGAAGGAGGACAAAGAAACGTTCAAAAAGTCGGCCACGGATGTTGATGGACCGCTGATCGTTACCATTAGCCAAGATCTCCCCATCATAGCCCTGGAGGAGGTCCTCTGCGGCCTGACATCCCTGATATTCATAGATCTCCAAAGAAGTCTGATCTGAGGAGAATGCAATAAAGTACCTTCCATCAGGGGAAAACTTTCGTAAGAAACAAGGTGGTTTTTCAACGTTGACCACAGTAAAATTGGGAAAGACATTCTGGTGGAAGATACGGACCTGGTGCCAGTGGGTCCCTGTCTTGCCCGATGTGATCCTTCGACGTTCCAAACGGTAGATGACATTCTGGTTCTGGATACGACGAGGCCTGATGGTTGGGGCCTCATGATCCATACTATTTTCTTCAGGCTGAGAACATCCCAGAATAGTGAGAATCAGACAGATTCCAAAAAGCATATCATGCCGTCAAGGAGAGGCAAATGTGGATGCTGCAAGAATTGGGCTGCAGGGAGAAGTCACAGGAAAGAGAAGTCAAATCTAGAGTTACACATAGTATCTATTTCCGATTATACTACTGTTCTCACAAACAAGTTAATCCTAAAATTATACTTGCTATGAGAAATGGAATAAGGTGACACTTTGGTCGATGAAACTTATGCCACAATCAACGTGTCCATTTTTAAGTTGCCTCAAGAACCTTAACCCATAAATTTGTAGTGAATGCCAGAAGAAAGACTATCTGGCTGCTGGCCAATGTCTGTATAAAAACAATTAATGTGCAACGTATAACCAGCCATCTGAGCTACATCATGCTTACAAGTATTGGACAACAAATTTGACTAATATACTAATTGTACGTGATTTAAAATTTGCAAGGGGGACTTAGAAAGCATGAAAAATCAGTCCTTCCTGTTCTCGCAGTCTTACACTGAATTAGCAACAATCTGGCCTGACGGGCCAGAATATGACAGCGCAGATGTACCAATTGATGCAGGGTATATGATCCCAAGTGAAACATGAACATTCGCTTAGATGACAGGAAACTATTATGAAAGGACATGTCCATCATTATGCAATGTCATTACTGCAACCAAAACTACACAAAAAATTAAAAGGGAACAAAAATAAACAAGCTCTCAAATGCTGATGCTAGCAGCAGGCCATAACACTCAGATACAGACAAGATATACATACTGCTGGCCAGAAAGTGCTAAGTTTGAGGATGATACTGAAAATCAAAGAATTATAAAGGACTCTGTCTTATAAAGGTACTGACTTATTAATCCTCCATACGATGATTTAACTAAGTATCGTGGTCTCACATAAGAGCAAGACACTTGCCACAGTAAAACTTCCATCCTCCCTTGAATGAGTTCAGGACTCCCCCCAAATGTTTATCCCTGGGGCTGGCAATTTTTGGACCCTCAGATACTGTGGGACTATAGCTTGAATTAGCTGTCTAAAACCTCTGTAGGGCAGCAACTTGCACACCCTTGTTTTATTCTCATGACTGTGCTAGGTACATTAGGCCAAGAAACACTAACTGGCTCATGGACATCCAGTCAGTGGCAGAAGTCAATCTAGGTCTCCTTGACCAAAGCACAACTACTCAATTTAGTGTCTTACGAGGATCAGCATGATTGGACAGCAGATGAAAGTGAATGCGCTCAGAAGAGCCCATTGCGTAACAGTAGGCATTCCCCAAGAATGGCAAGAGCTAAGAGCAGACTTGGCTTCTATTAAAAAAAGACCTCCACAGCCACTTGTCACATCATGGTTCTCCCTACCAACCCAAAAACTTGTCAGAGGTCAGATGGATGCACTTTTCAATGGGAGTCAAGTCAACTCAGTTCCCCGTATACAATGCCCAATGTTGACTTTTGTCTTTTATACAGAAGTGTGTGTCACCCACTCACAAAGCAGTTTGGTGTGGAGGGAGAGATGGGTGGACAGGCAGAGGAGGAGGAGAAGGCGGGCAAGAAGGTGGTACAAGCCAGTGAAGCAGTGGAGTTAGTGAAGTGGCAGCACTGGTTTCTAAAGAGAAGGTGGTGGTCAAGAAGATAGGAAGACAGTGATGGCTTGTGGGTGGAACAGGATGGTAAAGAGGGAGAAAGCCACTGGTAGCAGCATGCTCAAGAGCACAATCCAAGCACACCTGAGGCAGATTCAGAAGCAGTGCAGGCAGCCTTGAAGAGAACAATGGGCAGAGATCAACAAATCATGCATATACACAGTGGGCAACCTCATCAGCGGGTCCTTCGGGCTCAGAGAATCTTTCAGTTATTTGATGGGCTTATTTCTCACAGATTACGAATTGGAAAGAGCTACTCCTTCCCCGCTAGCTCAGATACTTAAGGAGTAGGACTAGGAGATGTCTGGAAGCCCTTTCCTGGCGATAAATGGGCATCTCAACGTCCTTGCTGTTGGGAAGGGCAAGGGCCACTGCGAGGGGCATGGAGAGAAGCACAGGCTCCCTCCCTCCCCTGCTCCCCACGCGCGCACTGGCTTCAGCGAGAACGAAGAAGGCGTCGGGCAGGAAGAGATTCCACCTCACCAAACCTTCCCCGCCCAACCCTCACGAGGCAGAACAAGAGCCCAACTTCCATAACTCACACAGCGACGGCGCCCGCCGCCATGTTTCCGCTGAGGGAGGAGGGCTGGGCATAACCATAGAGTTCCTTACAACCGACAGGCACGCCAGCGGCAAGAGCGTACGCGCCCCACACCGGAAGCTCCTCCAGTTATCACAGAGCGAAACGCTCGAGAGCAGAGTGTCGACTGCTCTGTTTTGCTGCTTCTTTCTTTGCCGCTTCCGCTCCCAACAGCGGATCCCAGTGACCGGAGGGCGCGCCATCCTCTCTGTGAACCTTCTCCCGGGCCATTGCCGTGACAACCGCATCGCCGCTAAAGAGGACGTCATGGCAACCAGCTTCTGAAGAGGGAGAGTTTCTCATGGCGACCAGGACGCCTTAGCAATGGCTATCCAGCCCTCCCAGCGGGATGTTCCATGAGCATCATTATGTACTGTATGGCAATGGCCACCTTCAGAAGTAGGGCTCCGATATCCACCTCACAAAGAAACTATCCTGTGTCAGCTTCTCTCCCTTCCTAACCCACACATACGCCTCATAGCCTGGGACAGGGGGAGCATAATGCCAGTCCCCTTGAGGTTGCCATGCCAACCACTCTCAGTGGGATGCCTTTCCATGACAGCTGCTGCCTAGCAGGATGCCATGACAACCTTAAGCACCATGGCATCCACCATGCACACACAAGCAGGCCACAGCAGCAACAGTGACCTGCATCCTGCTGAACACTGCCCCAGAGGGATACACAGACAGTTGTGCCACCCCAGCAGGAGCCTTCAGGCATGAGGACCATCTGCCTCTTCAGAAACGCTTCATCATGGATGTCCTAGAGTATCACCCTTGTGACAACAATGTGTCAAGTGACTGAGTAAGGAAATTGTATTAACATGTACAAATCTCTTGTGCTAGCAGGGCTCTGGTTTTGACCCCTAAAGAAGCTCATAGTCTGTTCAGTATTCTACTAAGGAGAGTCTTAAATTAAGCAATGGAGCCTCTAAATGCTGCAAATAATTCTAGGAAAGGTTCTAAGGTATGAGTAGGCTGAATCAGCATGGGATTTAATTGTAAGCTTAAGTGACTTGTAGTACATCTGCAAGGGAGCCATGGTCAAGAAACAGGTCATGCTCAGGAAATCTGGGTGCATAGCAGAACAAAACATGCTTGTGAGCATCCCAAAGGTGAAGAACTAGGAAGGCAGATGGAACAGGAAGCAGGTACCTGAGGCAAATTAGGGAGGGCTCAGGAATAATACAGCAAGGAAGGTACTAAACCACACTACTAACTGGAAGGCCTACGTTGCTAAAGCCATACTGCAAAGCAAACAGGAATCCAGTGCAAAACCTAAAAGTCACTACAACAAACTGAAAAATCTACATTACAGAACCCATGGGGGGTGGGGACAGAGGAAAGATCTTGCCCTTATACAGCTCTTCCTCCAGGTGTCCCAGCTGGCATTCATTAGGAGGCTGAGGGCTCCAGGAGGGCCTGGACCTGAACCTGAACCTGCAGTTACTCTGGTCAGATCTTTCCTAACAGCAAGAAATTAACAGTGTGGGGTATGTGCCAAATATATTGGCTGAAGAAAAAAAATCATACAGCTTCTAGCATGTCCCCAGGTGGGAGCTGTAGAACTTTATTTCTGCCTAAACATGCAGAGGATTGGTTGTATCTTTAAGCAGCTGAAAGCTACTGCTAGTACAAAACAGTAAGAGATCACTATGACGGGAGTGTGAGTGGTGGTGTAGGACTGAGTTGGTACTACAATCCTTAATTAAGAGACAGAAGCATTTATTATCTTGTGTTAGAAACACAGAGTCAGAAGGGGCCTCCCAGGCCATCCAGTCTGACTCCCAGCTCTAGCCAACTCCACTCATGACATGCCTACCATGTGCATGTCAAGACAAACATATTCATAAGATTTATGATTCATTCAAGCCAAAGGTCTGATCCATTTGTGATCCATTTCTACCCCAATGGCCACATATGAAGCTGGTTGAAAGATTAGGGCCTTCACACACACACACAAGTTCAACCCAAACTTTGGGTTCACTATGGGTTATTTAACCCATCATGAATGTATAATATGCAATGAGGTTCAGTGTGTTATTAACCCTCACTACAATGGGTCATTCAAGAGTTAAACAACCTTCACATACTGTAGTCCTCAGTTTGCAGGAGAATTATGCAAGGGTACAGAACCATGCATTTTTAGAAGGTTCAAATGTCACTGTTGGCACAGTGGTGGGATAGAGGCTTCACTGAAAAAAAAAATAAAGCTTCCTTGCAGGTTAAAAAAGATTGTGGGTTAAATAAAATACGGTGACACTGACATCTTGTGCAAATCTGCCCAGTGCTGTCTAATTTATTTATTTATTTATTTATTTATTTAAAACATTTCTATGCCGCCCCCATCGCAACAAAGCCTCGGGGCAGCTCACAAAGGATACATAAAAGCATACATAAATAATAATAATATAACAATTTAAAAGAAAAAACATTTATTAATCCACTTGCCAGCATTACCATCTATAAGTTCAGTGACCCCAACATAAATGCATTTTAAGATACACTTTTGATTGAAGCAGAGAATCAGGGGAGGCCTATGATACAGGGCAGACTGCTCCTACCCGTTGGCCTGGAATGCCCAACCTGGCTGGGAGCTGTGGTCCAAATGTTCAGAAACTTTGCCCACCCACCCCATCTGAGTGAAACTTGTTTGGGTGATGAAGCCTACAATGATAAAGGGCCTCTTCTGACAAGGCATTTACTGTGGCCTTGTGATCCATCACTCACGGAGGTTTGTGGAGCCTTTTCACAATGTCACTGTCTTCCAAGGCCTCTCCAAAGTTTTCCAGTCGTGTGTGTGTTTTACAGCAAGAAAAATCTGGTATTAAATTTTACATTGCAGTAAAAAAGAACAAAAGTCTCATTTAAAGATGAAAAACCAATATGCTGCAGTTAGGCCACAGTGCCACCTTGGACTTGATTAATAGAATATATGAAAGGCAAAGAAATACAAAAAGCCCTGGAAAAAGCCCAATACAACAGTGGATTAAATCTCTCATGTAGAGAATCCCTGAGTTATTTTCATCAACTGGAGGTGGGGTGGGGTTAGAAGGACCTGTTCCTGCCTGAGTTCAGTGTTTAGAAAACACATTTTAGTGGGAGGTTAGAAGAATCAATATCCCTGTTGGGTACTAAGGGTTCGAATCCAAATTCAGACACCATGGTTCTTTTCTAGCATTGACTAAAAGTGGCTTAAACCAAAGGATAAATCCATCTGGGAGACTATTGTGAAATGAGGTAAACAGCTAATCCTAGTATGCATCAGTACGCTCTTGAGGGATTAAACTCTGCTTTCTGTCCTACATTCACCCTGACCTTGCTGTGTGTTTGGACCTCTGTGCTACAGACCCCCTGGACTTCTTCCTGACTCTGCTTTTGGACTGTGTTTTTACTTGACTGATCTTGTGGCTTTTGACCCTGGATGCTACTGCAACCTCACTCTGAAAACCTCCTATGTGGTCTTAAAACTGTTTGACCATTCACCTGTTAAATGAATCACTTTGTCCTGCTTTTTGCTTGGCAAGTGGCCAGGATTCAGTTAAGCAGATCATATTGCTGTCCCTCCTCTCAGTGGGAAGCCGAGTCACTTTACTCTTGACCACATGCCTGGCTTTATTTATTTATCTATTTGAAACATTTTTATCCCATCCTTTACAGGATTCTCAGGATGGCAATTCAAAACAAAGTGCCAGCATACAATAAAGTATAAATCTAATAAAACCCAATATTAAAATCACAATCAAGTCTTAAAATGCAAGGAAAATAAAAAGGTTTAGCCTGGTGCTGAAATGAATAAACAAATGGCACCAGGCACAGCTCTCTGTTGATATAACATGAGTTTCTCTGCTGTGAACTCCACCAACCTCTGCCCTGAGAATCTTTTGGTCTACATTTCATATCTAGTATGGGCCATGGTCCAGGATGATAGGGGTAGAAGTCCTAAACATCTGGAGGAAACCAGGTTGGGAAAGACTGCTCTGCATCTGTTCCAGCAGGTTGGTAACACTTTCAGCCCAAGTAATGGTCAGGGATTAGGGGAGTTTTAGGCCTATAGCTCTGCAGAGTTTCTTAGTCCTGCTCTGTCTGTCCATCCATCCGTCCGTCCATTCTTTCTTTCCATCCATCCATCACACATACACATAAGCTTCATTATTAGGATTCACATGTTCAGTTATGTCAATATTTAGCATCCATCATCAGACGTACAGCAAAAAGGAATGAAGACAACATGCTTTTGTATTCTAGTGCCACAAATGTGGTATGTCTGAGATCTGCCATTCAGTGGGCAGTGAAAGCATATTTATGCGTTCTAACATGTTTTCGGGAAATGGCTTTCCTATTTAGTCATTTTGTGCAGTCCTGAAATGGAAAAGCAAGACACAATTGCAAACTGCAGAATTTGGAAATATTTATGTTGTACACAGGAAGAGTCAAAACCCTCAGGCACATTGCATATAGGTTTAAACAAGATCACTCTCATCAAAGGAGAAAAAAAAAGAGGATTGCTATATAGATTGAAATGATTCTATATGGAGAGGGCTGAGAACAAATCTTAGTGTATTGGGCTGGAGGAGAGAATGTAGGGTTGTTTGGAAAAGTGGTAACATGAGGCCAACTGGAGATCATGGAAGTTTGTGTATTGAAGTTTATGACTCAATTCACATATCAAAGAACCCATGACTTTTAGATGTGGGCTGTTGGGAATGAAGCAGGAGCAAACATGTGAGTTCTTTCCACCCACCCAATCTCTGCACCTGAAAATGTGTGCTGTTGTGGGAGAGAGAACTCAAAATTAGAACCTGGATTCTCTCTCCCTCAGCTACCCATAGTTCTGGTTTTACATGTCATGCCAATGATGGAGCATCCTTGAGCTGTTGAACACAGTTGGAGCAGGTGACAAGGCCCAATCCATTTGCCTTTTGCTCCTCCACAACTACCCAGGGTTTAAGT